GCCAAAAATTCACAGCAGAACCAAATGATTAAGTTCTTTGGAAGATACTCCAGTTTATAATTTATGACATGGTCTGTCATTGCATGGTTAAACCATCTGTACTAACCCAAAATTGGCACTAGTTCGAATATGAATTGCCTGGCTCCACTGACCACGCAAGTGAGGATGCTAAAACACCGGCAATGTTTTATATACACGGGTGAATCCGAGGGCATGTTATCAGAAACAATTATCGCACAGAACGGAGTCAGAATACTGAAATTACTGAATTGCAACGACCAAACAGTCAAATTACGTAGAATGGTGATGAAAATACACACAGTCTGCCTTAGACTATCCGAGGAGAAGCCCAGGACATCTGGAGGCAGAACGGCTGTTATCAACAGCCCACATCACTATGTCCGGCTTCCTTGTCCTTGCCTCAAAGTTATACAACTTCCCAGCGAGCGGTTTTAGTCTCCCTGACCTGCAGATGCGTTAGCGACTTCCACTCGCATACGCACACACGGTCGTTGTGTCTACCCAAGCACCACTTGAACGCGCCATCCCCGACCAATGCAGTATGAGCCAAAAGACAAGACACAATTTCTGGTAATGCAGCGCACCACTTGGACATCACCTGAACTTGCTCCACAAGCATATAAAAGCAGCTGCCCCGCTGCCTCATTTTCCCTCCGGCAGGACTAAAGGCAGCCAACACTTGTCCTGGATTCACCAGTGACCACTGCTGCCTGAGACAGCAAATCGGGGTTCTGTGCACAATAAATTCCTCTTCCTGATGCTTTCTGTCCTTCCCAACGATCCGAGATTAGGCCTGATGGTTGTAGTGTTCTGAGCACAAACACTGCTTAGACGGTACATAGCCGCCTTAACAGGACACGGAAACATAACCGTCCCGCTCGCTTAAAATATGTGTTCTTGGAATAAATTTCAGGAAGGGTAAATATCCCCGCGTCTTGAACCAACCCTAACATTACACTAAACTGTAACCGTAATCTTTCCGCTAGCTCTACCGCAAACTTCAACCCTACGGTTAACTCGAACCCAAACCTTAAGCCTTAACATGATCCTGACCCCAACCCGAAATCTGACCTAAACCCCAACTTTAAACCTAACCCTAACCCTCGGCCTAATCCTGAACTTAATTTCTTCGGAATTTGGCTCGAAGCCACATGTACTGACTCTATAGTCCCTGTCACCGGTTGGTTATGTGAACGAGGTTTGGGGCGTGAGTTGAGCAAACGTGACAAGCGAGAGATGGATGAGAAAAGGGAAGCGGGACGGATGCAAAATTAATTACTGCGTCCACACTTTTTTCTTCCTTCACAGGATAGTCCGATTCATATTCCTCCTCAGGCAACGGTAATATAGAGCGTGTTCGGTGGACGAACTAGCGTTAGAACTTTAAATGTATTGTAAAGTCCGTATCTCCCCTCAATTCACAGGATACCTACCCCAAATACCCAGCCAAGATGCACAAAGGCTCTGGATAGAGAGAGCTTGATAGAAGATATCCTACGAAAAACAATAGGACCGTGAAACAAGAAAGAATATTTTGGCTACATGGTAGATGCATAGGACTAACATGGGCGCTGGACCAGGGCACGGCATGCGTTACTGGGCATGCGCACCTGTGACAAATTTCACCTTTTGAGTAGAAGCGTGGTAGTAAGTCTAGGCGTAGGTACACACTGTGTCAGTCGCCTACGCCCAAGCGCATTTTAGGATTTCTTGACGGTACGGACACGGGACCAGGTGGGTGAAGCAGGAGTGTGTTAGATGCACACAAGTCGGCTATCAATATTAACTGAGTTACGTATAAGTCACCGTCCCCGCACTCACCCTGCAATGGGCAAACGGTAGATATAGTAGGAAACGAAGGTCTACCTTTCACAATTTCATGAAGAAACGTCACAAAAGTAATTACAGTGGACAAATACATAGGCCAAGTAAGTCCAGAGCGGGAGGTGAAATGTTTACCGGGCTCAGGGTGAAATACTCACGAGACCAGTCCAACAGTAGACCTAGGCGGTTCAGTTGCGCGAGGATATTTGTCCCCTTTCTGGAAAAATAAAAGAAATCGACGGCGACAACGCGTTGAAGAGAACGCTGAGGTGAGGGGAAAAACTGAGTGTAAAAAGCTTATGCTCACGAATCCTTCCACTTCCAGACTTCTTGAACAAAGGCCTCACGACCCATCTGAAGTCGGGGGTTTCGTGAACCCTGGAGGTCGCAGGTGTCTCCAAACAGGTGTCTTTCAACAACCATCTGTGTAGCCAGCCCCGCATGATCCATTCCAGGAATCCAGAGCACATTCCGCCCCTTCATCTGCTGCCTACAAAACAGAATAAAAAGAATAGACAAAGTTCTCCTGAGATAAGAAATTTTGCGTGGTTATTCCTGCTTTAGTAGGAGTCGACAGCAGGTCATACGCCAACCTCTGGTTCGAATAGTGTGGGCTTGCACCCAGACTCTTTGGTCACTAGGAGTTAAGTTCAACACTCTATCCTCAAGAAATGCAATCGCTGTTCTCTTTGTGTGTATGAGGAATAGAAAGTGTTGTGGTAGTGCTGTTCGCCAATCTAGTTACAGCGTGGACCATGCTCGACCTGTTGTACTCAGATTCCACACTAGAGCCATCGCAGGAAGTTACGTACCAATCAGTAATAATGAGGGACAAAGAAAACGTTGACTGTGAGGGGTCCAGATTGAGACGATCGGCGAGCGACTTATCCATGCCTCTGACAGTAAACATAAAACATGTGTAAAAACGCGAAAAAAATGGCTGAACTTATACCCACTTGAACTACTTCGCGCGGCCTTACAAAAGTAGCTGACACCACAATACAACAGTCTCTCGTTCTCTCGGGCATGACTTGACAGTCCATCTGCGTATCATACTGAAGGGATGCAGCGTCGACGACTTGCGCATAAAGTGTTTATTAATGAGATAGTCTCGCAACGTATCTATCTCACTTTTTCCTCCCTGAGTAACCCGACTATGATAGCAAGACAAGGACAAGAAGATCGGAGATGGGTTGGTTGTGCTGCCTGAGAGAGCTTAACAGACTGTCTACGCGTGCCACACAGGACCTTTGTAAAGTTTCCAAAGGTGAATCGGATCGCACATGTGTGAGTTTGCCAGAGGCCACATTAAGACGTATCCATTGCAGTCTCACTCTCAGTCCTCCAGCTACTTCAAAACACTTACGGGGGCTCAGTTAGCTCACAAAGTGATTGCAATGAGGAATGCACCAATTTTCCGTGAGATTCGAGTCCCCGGTGTTGGGCCCACTCCCTTTTTTCTCTCCCATGCTCCAGTTGATCTTCCGAGCTTGTCAGTCAAGCGTATTGTCTGATAACCAAGCCCGAAACCCTTTTCAAGGGTTTCTCAAAATTAGCTGGCGCCACGTCGTGTTGGACCCAGCATCCTCTTAGATCCAGAACTACAAAACTAATGTAAACCTGATAACTACAAAAACATACGATGTCGGAAAACGTTCCCTAAAACGAGAGTTAAAATGAAAGACAACTAACCATCGACAGATGGCATCCTGAATGGCCGCCGTCAGAGCATGGCCCAGGTGCAGATCTCCCGTGATATTGGGAGGCGGAAGAATCATGGTAAAGGGTTTTCCAACCTATGTAATGATGAAAACAAAAAAGATACATGGTCCTCGGGTGTAAAGAAGTGTGTTAACGGCGGACGAAGGAAACAAAGCAAGTATCAAAGGGCGAAAGCTCGATAGGCGTTGAAAACTAAAGGTAGTACAAGAAAATACCTAACTAATAAAGTACTTTTACTCGACAGACAAGGTTGTGTAAATGTCCTGGGAAAAAAGACCTAGAGCTAGTACAGCCTCTCGGAAGCCGAAACACGCAAGACCCGACACCTTTGCTGCAACTTGATGCGGAATGGATACGCGAAAGTCAACTCCCCATCCAATACCCTGTCTCGTTTCGGAAGTTCAGCAAAAGTACTATTTGGAGGCGACGGAAAGCATTGTTGCAAGACCCGCTGCTGAGATGGCACACTGATCGAAACTACCACGGGTGATGTCTGAAAGATTTAAAATTGATTAGCGCTCCAGTTAAGTCTTGAAATTTTGCGAAGTTATCCATAAAAGTCGGCTCGGTGGAGAATTGGTGTCACATATATTTGAATAAAAATAGACAGTAACACGGGAGGGCGGAGCTTCTCGAATTGTGTTCCAAACTCCGAAACATATCATGATTTAAACTTCGCGACTGCCAAGACTATTGCTCCAACAGGGAAGAGGATAAGCTGTGAGATAATTGAAGTTTGAGCTTAAACAACCGAGATGCAAAAATTTCCGGTCTCCATATGGAGCCCTGCACAGCGATTTTCGGACTAACCAAACCGGGTGTGGGTTTGCTGTGAAGCCCTAAAATGCTGCCTATATCTGCACAGATCAGGTCACAAACAGGAACTGGCAAGGCCTCAACAACTCGTCTCTATCAAAGTGAAATAATACTCCGGTCTGCGCACGGGAGGTTTCCGGACAAAATTAGAAAACAACGGTAACGTCTAACGAGTATGAGATTTAAACAACAACCAATTCTGTAAAATTGGCTATGGAAGGAAAAAGAGTCTTCGCCGCAGATGAGAGTTATTAAGAAGCAGTCGTCTGAACTTGCAGTCGGTAAAATTACTCGAAAGAAACTTGAAGCAGAGCAAATGTTCGACTGTTTTCGTGAACGCTGTGCCCTCAGTTGTTTTTTGGAAAAGGAAAGGGAGGAGGAAGGAATAAGTCGCGGATGATTCGATATCCTTGAAAAAAAACTAAAACGCAGACGTACTTTGGGCTTTTTTGCCAAGCAGTTCCGCCAGAGTGAGGCGCAGAGTCGGGGATCCTCAACTACCTGCGGTTGGTACTGTCTGTGGATTTCTGTGAATAAATGTACGGAATTAAGTGAAGGAGAGGCGCGGCAGGTTATTCAGATGGAGAGAGTATACGAGTGCTCTTTGAATCGTGGTCTAAAGAGGCTTTGGAAATAGACCTGCCGGGGCCCCTCGCAAAAATTAAAAATGTACTCGTATTGACCAAAAAGTCATTATGGGGTGATTACTAACAAATCAGTGGCTTCAACTCTGATAAAAAGACCGGGTCAATAGACCACTGATAGTATACGCTAAATGAACTTGGTTACCGAAATATACTTTTAGTGCCCGGCCTCCCAAACCTGCATAGAAATCGCACTGAAGTCCATGGCGAGGAAGCAGCAACATCGGCCTGCCCGAGCTCGATGCCCACAGTAGAAAACGAGGCTAGTACTGCAACTATAGACTCCGGTCGCAGACAGGACAATCATAAAAGCAGCATGAGAGCTGTTAACCAGCAAGTGGGCGACAGTGTCGTAGGCACAAAAAATGTCGCCAAGAGAGAAGCAAGCTTCGTAATACAGGGTTTACTTGAATCCACCGCAGACACTCCCATGGACCGGCATTCCGCAGACGTTCAGCTCTTCGGTGTACTCATGAACAAAATGCTGGGACCCAATGTGTCAGTCGATAAGGCCTTCCGCTTTGTAAAACGGTCAGAGAGCCCAACTGGATCGACGCGTCCCAGACGTCTGAAAGTGATCATCACCAGCAGCCAAGAAGACAAGCTCATTCTGTCTAGGCATTT